TCCATCGAAATATGAAGCACGCAGGAAGTCTGGAGAACATGAAAGACGCTCAAAAGACTCTTAAACCGTTCCGAACACTTCATATCTCGATGAATGCACAGCTGACCTATGAACCAATTGTTTTATAATTACTGTCAACGCTACAGTTTGGATGTTTTTCTTTAGCTCCTATGCAATAAAAGCAGTTAAAAATCTTAATCCGTAACTAAAAAAAAGATAGCTCCAGCCAAAATGTTCACAGGAAAGAAAACCTTAGATGATTAGTGATCAGCCGATTTCAAAGTCGTTATGCACTTTGTCGGGTTTACCAAATTACTGCATGCTAACCAAAGACTTTTGCTAAAAAGCAGGCTAAAAAAAGAAAGAAATATTCAAATTCACTATTTAGAGGCACAAAAAATCAGATTTTCTTGCGTTATCAGAACTAAAAGCTTAACAAAATCTTGTGTTGCATAATACTTCAAGCGCATATGTTTTTGAATAGTTTTTTCTAGGACGAAGAATGGTCCTAAAGTGGTGGCCAAAAACCTAATCGAATTCGAAGGCCATTCGACACAATTTTTTGGTTTTTGAAAAAAAATTATATAATGCAAAGGTCTACTTGGTAATAAAAACGCCTGATGGAGCCTGCAAGAAATGGTTCTTTTGCTCAGGAAATGTAGAAAATTCTGTGAACTCGTTCAGCGAAAGAAATGATCGAGATGAATTTCTTATATAAGTTACTGTTAGTTACCTCGCGTCCGCAGAAAAAATCCCACCGAATATTCCAAACATAATGAATCGACTTTTCTTAAAGGATGTTACTCCAAATAAGATGGGAAAAGGGAGGGGCTGTGTTATCTTCCTACTTCCCGTCACCCGAACCTTTTAATCCCAGTTTCCATCACAGCACTCAAGCCTCCCAAGTGCATCCATAACTCAGTGGTTGCACGCTCACCATTTCTATTACACCATTGAGACTTTCAAACATCTTTTGTCTCGTGTATAAAAATAAAAAGCGGAAACAAACTGACGTCAGCATGCAACCCACGGGCAAATGGATCGAGCGTATTAGCCAATCAGAGTGCACTTTTATAAAGCTATGCTATCAAAATAAGATAAAAAGAGTTCAGCGCATCGCTGGTTTATACGGGCGTGTTATACTTTCTTCAGATAAAGTACTACCTTCGCAGCTTGAAAAGAGAATAGAAAGTAATCTGGCCAAAAAGGATTACGATCTCCCTTAAATCAAGATAACTCATTACTAAGGTTTATCAGCCAAAAGTAAGTTTGACCCTTCCTCAATCCCTATGATGTACCTTAAACTTTGTTATTTTGATAAGCTTACCATAAGTGTCTCTTGATAATAAAAACACGTTTAACCATGTATCCCGGAGACATACCAATACTAGTAGAAGCTGTAGACAGCCATGGTAGTGTGCGTAGAGATTGCAGAATGGCCAATTCAAACTGACACTTAGACCCTCTTACAGCCTCCCGGTTAGCTCAATGGATAGAGCGCTGGACTGTAGTGCGGGAGGTCGAGGGTTCGAGCCCGGCCGGACCAACACTCAGGGTCTTAAAATATTTGAGAAGGATTTGCTACCCTTCTATAACATCAAGAAATGGTTAGATATTCTAGTCTTCTCGGATAGGGACGAATAAATGGAGGTCCCGTCTCCTGCAGGGTTGGGGTAGGAG